TACAACGGAATGGATACACTTACGGACAAGTGCAGGAATGCGAGATGGAAAAGGGTCAGGTCATCGACAAAATGCGAAGCCTATAGAGGAGGGGGGTGAGCATCGAAATATGTCGAGATAGACCGGAGAAATAGCTTAGGTGCTTGAGGAGTTATCAGTCAAGACCGACGCCTGACGAAGAGACAAAGGTGGTAGGTAGCACCGCCGCACATGCGACTTGCCCAAGCATGGTTTATTTGTTACCGGTTGCCTTAATCCACATCTCAGGGAAGTTCTCTGAGAGCAACGCACGCTGGCAAAGAGCGAGTTTCTCCGAAAATGCTGAAAAGATCCCGAAAATCGCAAAGTCGGGTGGTTGAGCTATTGAAAACATAACTCAGGTAGCGGTTGGCGTGCCATTTGATAGAAAGAATGGCCTAGTTAATCACTGTTTCCAATACTTGTCTATCTATGTACCAGTCCCGACACTAAGCCGTAGCCAGCACCGTTCCATATTCCGCTTGACCGTTCAATTGCGGCGAGGCAACAGAACACGAGCCCCCAAGAGACTCGTTCCTCTCAGACCCCAAAACAGATTTCCCAAAAACCACCCACCGTTCCAGGCAACAATAACCGTGGCCGGGTGGTCAAGTTTGGGTGTGTGTTCCAGTCTATGCTGCGTGCCAAATGGTCAAATCGGTGATTGGTGGGCGCACCAGACGAGAATACACAGGAGGAGTCAAGAAGACAGGATTGTGTTTCTCCCCGTTCTCCCTGTGCCTCGAATAAAATAGTCAGCGTGCACCAGGCAGGATTGGGGCCAACCGAGGAGGGCTGACGGGCCTAAGTGATGGTGGAATATTCTCGGTTCCTCTCTCACCTCCACAAGCAGCAGCTTTGGGACGCGTTGCCACAGGTCGTTCCGGAACACTGACACAACCGATGCCAACGCGCTCCCTTGCTGCAGGCCGGCGCTCCGCCCAGATGACCCGCGCATATGCGGGTCTGTCGCGGTTCCTGCTTTTAGGTGCAATGGGTTTTAGCTGCGATTATCAGTGTGGTCATTGGAATGATTGGGCTGACTGTCGCTGTTGTTGTTTTTGCCATTGCTGTTGTTGTTGTTGTTGTTGTTGTTGTTGCTACTGTGGCGGCGCTTCTCGCTCGCATTTGCATGGTGGGCAGCACAAATTCTCAACAAAAGCCAGGGGGAAGTGCTTCAGGCATCAACACGCGTAATCGAATAGCGTACGAGAGCATGTCCTGGCGAACCCCGTCAAGGTAAGCATAGGGAAACCGAGCTTATCGCGAAACATCCACGTTTCACACTAAAACAGAACGGCACGAAAGTGTACGCTGCTGAGATAGAGACCTGCTGTTAATCAAGTCGTGCTCACAAGCTCAAGGCGGATGATCGACCACCCCCCCAGACTCCCGGCGTCGTTAATACTTTTCTAGATAGCGCAAGGCCGCCCCAACTTCTGTGTGTTCCGAACCACCAATCAACACAGGTCAGCCAATCGCAATTGGGAAAGAAACTTTAGTCTTCGAGGAGCCGCGTCAGCGAAGAAACACTCACTGCTGCATGGTCCCGATATATAGCGGTGTAGTGACAGACAAGAATCACCGCGTATTTTCTGGACCTACGTGATGGGGGAAAGGTCCCAAAATGGCAGTACAGTAAGGATACGTTGTTGCTCTAAGGAAATGTTGCTGCGATGTATCGGACTCACTATTGTAGCGGGAAGATATATAGCGGGAGATATATAGCGGGAAGATGATGGATGTGTCTCTACGTACAAGTATGGTGGCGGATGCCAAGAGTGAGATCACCTTCAAGTTTGGCGCTATCTTCGCCCTGATCGGGTGGCGAGTTCTCGATGAACGCCTCGCAAGCCTCCGAGACCCGGTCTTGCAACTCGAACGCTTCGCACCTTCACGCACAAAGAAGGATCAACACAAGAGGCAGATATAACGGGCGTACGCTCCGCTCATTAAGTCCCGGTATACTAGTGGCAGGTGAACAGGGACAAACAGACGATGATGGTTGGGCGCCAAGGGGTGAGTCAAACCGTATTTCCTGAACTGCTTCTCAAGGCAGGTTCTTCGGTCGCCAGATACCCTACGCATAACACTCGATATCATTCCCGTAGGTAACACTCAGCTCCTACATAACGAAAACCTTTAAGACGCTTTTCCAACTGCAACGTTGGCAACCCCATTGTCACGGGCTTGAGAGCCGGCTAAGTTATTGGTTTCGTCTGGAAACCCTCCCGAACGGGAGCAAGTTATAATCGGCGATATATGCATCAGAAAGGCCAACTGTCCACGATGGAAACGCTTGATCGTGAGGCGGGGAGAGACACCTGGGGTCGACCCTTGCCCGGGTGAGCATCCACCAACGCTCACCTCCTAGAAATGACCTTGATCAAGACGCCCGCCAGCAGCGAACAAAGCACCAACAAGGCTAGCGCTAAAGTCGCAACCTAAGCGCGCCACCGCAACGAGAACAACAAGCTTCATCACGTGGTGGGATGGACATATCAAAATAAAGGCAAAACAACCAAACATTCACGGAGTAAGTAGCCCTGTTCGCAGGACAACTCAGATCATCCTCGAAGAATGGTTAGGATTGTCTTGGATCTAACTGCCATAGGCAGTGCACTATTGATACCCGGGGATCGAAGTACGAGGAGTGCGGACACGAAAAGCAAAGTTTGATGTGGAGTGGATTCGACGGACGTGTTTGCAGATGAAGCTTCCTACCTACGCTAACCCTCCGACAAAAAAGCAGAGTACTAGAAAAACACGTCAATAGCATCACGGATACAACACACTATTGTAGGTCGTAGGGGTGATATCTGAGCAGACGAACAGGTACCGCATTGGCAGATCCCCACTTCAGTTCACGAACGATAAAACCCTATCCAACCAAGGATAGCAGCTCACACTCTTGTCGATGTTCAGCGAGTATCCAACGAGCAGCACCAGGACCGCGATGACGGAGACAAGGTTCTGTTGCAATTCCTGTCTCGCCATAACACGGAGAGGCACCGCAGCACCCGCGATCTCCGTGGACTGGAGACACCTAAAGCGCGTCGAAGGGTTGTCGCGCCGACAAAGAGTGGGTGTCAAGGACAAAGTGTGCAGGCACATCGCGAAGGACAAAACGCTGGCGCTGGGTATCCGCACATCACACAAAGGCAAAGCCTTCACTATTGGCTAAATAACATGTACAGAACGCTCCCGCACTTGAGAACCTTGGAGTTGAGAAATTGAGCCAAAAAAAAAATGCGTTTTTAGAACTTGAGCACCATTTGTGAGCTCGGTTAAGGACCCCTTCACTAAAACCTATGTAGTGACCATTCGTAGCATGCTCCTACGAAATAAGAACCCCAGCCTCGGCCCAAACTATGTAGCGGTCCTTTAAGTGAGGCCACGTTCTGTATTACAACAGGATTTTTCAGCGCTAACCCATGGAGCCCCTTGACAGACTCTCTCAACGCTCCATCGTCGAATTAATGCGTCGTACATGATACGATTTCTGGATCACGCCACCGTTCTCTATCCTGAGGCCTTTCCGCGGTGGACATCGAGTAACTCGACAACCCCGGGGTTTCAGTGTTGAGGCATTCTCCCCCCGTGTGGAGCTCCGCGTAGGCTCGGAAACTCAGGCGCTGGCAGGGGCATGTGATTAATCCTGTTCACCCAGCTACGGTTGAAGCCGACTAGTTTGAGGCGGAAAATCGGCCATAGCCTACAGCGCAGGAGATATATTGATGTACTCGGCAAAGTTTCTGGTTACTTCGTGTAAGTTTCAGCCTCAAGTTACCAGCGCTTGTCGTGTGAGAGGACTGGTGTGCTCCCGCACAGGCTAGTGCCAATGCAGAGGAGTTCGTGGACCATGGGGTTAGTGCGAGATCGGGCACACCGCACAGCAATTGATTTGGTAGGGCGGTTGGCCGTTGCGACGACATTGAATTTGTGTCAAGTTTTTCATTTACTTTGAGCAGAAGTACGGTGCTGCTGCTACTATTGTACTGCTACCTCTGTCTTGGAACCTTAAGTCTACAGCGGCGGCACAAATGCGATTGCGAGATTAGCACGTCACGAGTGAGGGATTCGTGTGTCCAAAACAACGCAAGCCGGAGTTGGTGAGCCATATGCCACAGAGACAGTCACAACCGCAGCATTTTCTTTGTCGCACGCCAACATAGCTTGTTGCATCGCTCATGCCGGTTGTCTGCACCGAAAGCACGCATGTGCCTCCATGCATTGGATGATTTGGAATCAACGAATACGTTAATGACCAAGCACATACCGCTCACAAATCTTGACCCTTGCAGACAAGAGGGAAACAAACACTCACCAGACACATCCATACGGGTATTATGGACGTAGATTTGTACGCACCGATGGCCCCCTCCTCCTGTGCTTGCGCCCAGCTGCTGGCAGCAGCACCCAGCGACTTGCTGCAAAGGCAGTACTATACTTTTACACAGACGAAAATTTTGGGGAGTACTACGTCGGTGCCAACAAGTGATACGTTGGCAAACCTATTTCGGACAACCTCAAGTCCGGCAAAAGTTGACAACTAGCACACAGGGATACGGAGGGTGCCCAGGTACAGCCCGGCAATGGGTCAGCGCAGTGGGTAAGAGAAAACGCACAGCCGTCCTGTAGCTCCTTGTCTAAACCCACCTCCGGGCGACTGCTACCAATACCCCTCGTGCTTCCATCGTTGACACGCCCCGGTACTGCTGTCCCTCCTGCCAGGACTCCATGGTGACCATGCCACCGTTTCTAAAGTGCACACGAGCCTGTGTGAGAGATGGTTGTGCGGGATACCAACGACGAACGCACACGAGATGGAGACTACAGCAGCGGCTGAATTAAAATAGGTTCTCATTGGGAACCGGTCGGAGACTTCCAGAACCTTGCCGCAAGCGAGCGTTTCCACGTTCAACATCCATCCGTAGATATGTTCCAAACACACCGGCCACTGCACTCGGCAGCAAGGCAAGATGCCCCCACCACTTCCCACACAGGGTTGGCCTCGAGGCCCTATGAATGAGCTTCATTTGGCCGCGATGAACGGCTCCTCTGAGCGCGCACTAGCCTTGCTGTCGAGCCGAGACCCGATCGATGTCAACCAAGGAGACTCGGCGGGCTGCACCCCGCTCATGCTGGCCACCACAAACGGCCACCCGCGAGTTGTCAGGATCCTGCTGAATCATGGGGCCAACATGTCCATCGTCGATGACGTCGGTAGCGATGCGCTACTAAAGTCGGCTGTTGTAGGGCACTCGGCTGTGACCAAGATGTTGGTGAAGGCGAGTGCTAACCTCGAGGCGGCTGATTTCGACGGCGCCACACCGCTTCATCTCGCTGCGACATGCGGGAACTCGGAGGTGATGAGAGTGCTGATCGAAGCAGGCGCGGAGGTCGACAGCCGCATGACCACCGGGTCGACGCCCCTCTGCACCGCGGCTAGTTTCGGGCACACCAGCGCGGTGATCCGGCTGATTCACGCGAATGCGGACCCGCTGTTGGGCAACGTGTTACCTACCATCAACAGGAGGAGTGTATTTCCTCCCGTTGGACGTGGCAGCGCACTTCGGGCACTCGGCGGTGGTACGCGAGTTACTCCAGCGGCTGGGAATCGAACGCTGCGGCGGTGAAAGCCGCGGTGTCGACGCGCTCTGCCTGGCAGTGAAGGGGCGGCACGTGGGTATCGTGGCCATGCTGGCGCACGCCGGAGTGGTAGACAAGGGCAGTGCCCTGGCCGCCGCCGCCGCACAAGGGTACGAAGCATCCGTGAAGTTCCTGCTGCGGCAGCACGAGGGGAAACCCTCCGGGAGTGGAAGCGCTTATGTAAACAAGTTCAATCGATTCGGCCTGACACCCTTGCTAGAAAACATCAACTGCGGCCACTGTTCTGCGAGGATTGTTCGGTTGCTCGTGGATGCCGGCGCGGACACGACTGCCGCCTTTCGACTCACCGGTAAGAAAGGGCAGGCGATAGCGGCAACCACGCAGCTCACCGCCATGGAGTGTCTCGTCCTTGAGAAAAGGGCCAAAGGGGATACGGGAGAGCAGCGGCACAACCTACAGGCCACCTTCCGATTGCTGTTGCAAGTAGAGGCCGCTCATGCCATCTCCTGGGTGTGGCCGACCGGTTCCCACTCCGTCGACCGCCCTCCACGTGGTCAGAGCAGGGCTGAAGCACCAGTAAGGCTGACGTTGCCGATGACGAGGAGGGATACCGGGACGCGTCGCGCACTCTTGGGGGCCATGTCAAGGTGTGTGCAGACATGGTTGGGCATCGCCATAGGCCATTTGTAATTGTGTTGACGCCCGAAGACTGCTGTGTTGGCGTGCCATCTCATGTAGTTGCTTGTTTTTTTCTTGCCTGCTGAGGAGACTGCCATGCATCGATGATGCCAACATTGTCTCTTTGTAGACTAAACACTACAGTTTTTGTCAGTGACGACACAACGCGTATGTGATCCTACCTCCCTTTCAGAAGCCGGCGCACTAAACCCGAAAAAACAACTATTTTGCCCCAATGTAGTCTAGTTCGAAATGTACATTTTTGTGCACCGCAAGAACATTTAGTTCTTGCTCCAAGCTGGTCCGATTCAGAATGAATCAACACACACGGCTTGCAGAGGAGCTTATTGCCCTCTGTGCTGCCTTTTTTTGGTGGGTTGTTTTTGCCTGCGAAGTTGCTTCCCGCCCTAGAGGTTTCCACATCTGTAACTTCTTCATATAGTAAACGAGGTCCCTCACCCCCCCCAGAAGTGTGCAATCTCCCACACTACTGACAGTTGCAAAACTGCCCATGGGACACCCATGGGTCATCCATGAAGTGCCCGCCGTGGGCACTTCAGTTTAGCACTTCGCCACCGGCATTTCAACCTAGAACTTGGCCACCAGCGCCAACCTAGCATGTTAGGGCTACGGTTGGCGTTAGGGTTATTAGCCGCTAAAGCGCCCGTTCCAAAGCAGATAGTCTATTTCTTAGGAGTACACTGGTTCGGTTGAAGGGCTATCATTGGCCGAACATTAGCTGCCCACGGGCAACCCATGGGTGACCCATGGGCCTAACGGGGTGCCCATGGGCGGCCCATGGGTCACCCATGCGTGTCCCGTGGGTCATCAGGGAAAACCGTAGAAAGTATGGGAGCCCCGTAGTGTGGAGGGTCAGTAGGACTCAACACCGCTTGGAATTGGACGAACGTATGTGCGTCTCTGCATAGCCAACGATCACGAAACGCTCGAGCCGCGCAGAAATAACGGGAAATGCAGTCTCATTCTTTCCCTACGCAGTTCCTACTAGAGTTCAGCGGGCCGGACGTACCTGGTTGACATTGCCCTGCTTTCTGACCCTGTCGCGATGTCGCACACGTTTGTAGATACACAAGAACCGCGAATTGTCCCTCTCAATCTATCGTCCATGTATTTACCTCCTTGTTCGACCACAACGAACGGTTCGCCGCCCCGTTTGTTGTCGAGGAGAGTATCACAACCTCCTGCCAACGCTTTGATCTTGTGATACGGCGCTCAGCCATTGTGCATCTCGCGTTCCCACCAACCCCATTCTACCATTCTGCCATAAACTTCCGCCTACCGCGTTTTAGGTACTCGGGAAAGTCGATGTACTCGCAGGGAGGTGGTGGAAAGCAGCAGAAGGACCCATCTTGGAGTGTTAGGGCTGTCGCATTGGCGCTAGTGCGGGGCAATACCGGCCTTTCCTTCATTCTAGGGGTGGAGTTCGTCTTCGTTCTGATGTTCGGGGCAATAGCGGCTGGTTGGCATGGGACGGTGCAAGCGCTCTTCGCCAAGGAATGGCTGGTCTTCCTTAGTGTGTTGATCTGGGCGTGGTGAAATTTTTGAGACTTTCGCACGTGACGGGAAATTTTACATTTCGTGACCCTTTTGTTGAAGCAGAGCTGAAAGAAATATCGGTGCGACGTTTTGACGCGAAGAAGTTGTCGGCACCTGTACAACTTCTTTGCGGAACAATATCCCCACACAGCTGTGGCGCCCCACGAAACATGGATGCGCACGCCAGGTTGTTGTTCAACACGCGGCATCTTCTATGTACAGCAAAACCTTCGCTGAGCAAGGAGGTCGTGACCTGCTGTGTGCTGTATCAAGCGTGCTAATGCTGCTGTAGATACGTGCGTTCTACGTGCGATAACCCTATCTGGCTTGCCGTAGGTCTGCAACTACGGCCGACGTGAGCTGCGCGTCTATGCTGTCAACCGGTTGCGACATGCGTCTTTTAATGGCAATTGCGCGTGATTGAACGCGTGTGTCACCATTGGTTTCACAGAAAATATAAAAAAACTGTTGCTGTGTAGAAGGCGTCGTGTCGACACGTCCGTGCTACCGCCGCTACCCCTAATTGGCTGTAGGTCTACAGTTCGATGCTGTCAATCGTTTGTGACGTGTGTTGGTCTTTCTGATGTCGGTTGCGCGTGATTGAACGTTTATGTTTCGCAGGAAAAACAAATCGAGGGTATTTTCTAGTGAGGGCAGACAAGGACGAACATTGCTGTTAGTTATATATTAACATGATCAAGATTACGCATCCTGTGCACTGCTTCTGCTATGTAAGAAGAGCGTAGGATCGACTTATCGTATCGATATCGGTTATCGAAAACATTTGAAGTGTTCGATATTTCGATATTTCGATATCGATACTATTAATCGAAGCACAAGGAACCCCCATGTTCAACACCACACAGCACACAGCAGCTGCATACCGTGAAGGAGGCCACGAAATGCGTGCATTTAGGGGAGCTGCTATTCATATATCTCTCATTTTTTTTGTTTGTCTCCCATCATTGGACTCTGTCGTCTGCCCCTCTGGCCCCTATCCTCCACTTCCACCAGCTAGACGACCCAACTTGGGTCACACAGGCGGGGGGGTTGGACCCCCTCCTGCGGTTCCTGCCTGAGATATTTTTATCGCGAGAAGGGTACAGCAATCCCTTCCCTCGCGACTTATGAAGTCGATCAAGTTTACTAACAACGAGCTTTGCAGCGCGTCGCTTCCAACGGAGACCAGGATTTAATAAGCGAGAAAAATCTCACACTGTCGGGACTCGAACCCATGACCTGGCCCTTAGCAGGCTGCGAAGCAACCCACTAGACCACCGGAGCGACCGGTGTATGTCTCATTGTGAGAGCTTGGCTACGACAAGCTTGCTTATCGAATTGTTCTGTGGTGTGCGATACCACTGAGCTCTGAAGCAATACTTCGATGATGAACCGAGGAACGTCTCCCGAACACATAATGCAGTTTACCAGCATGCGTTTTTCAAACAGATGACTGCATACCGCTGGTTTCGGAGGCCTATTTTCCGGAAATATCTGTGGGAAGTGAAGCGAAAATGATCCAATATTTTTTCCTCCGGCAGCGCCCCAGCGGGGCCCCCTCACTAACCGAGTAGGGCTCGACGGCGAGCTTCCGCGCCTTCGCGCGTTAGCTCATTGTGCTCGCTGGATAGCTGCGCTCGCCAACGGCTCGCTAGGCTATGCATACGATAAAGCACAACGTTTTATTGCTGTGTGGGTACTGCATCTCACATCACCGTTCAAGACATACCGATTTCGGTCGTTCTTCATCGAGAAACGTCTACTTAAATTTCAAGACGTGTTGAGCGAATACCAGTGCGGATGACAGACCTTCGTCGCAGGTTGCTTGTGGAGGAGCGAAGTCGTCCAAACATTGTGTGGGAAGGGATTGTTTTTCGAAGAGCGACAGGAAGACGACGAAGTGGTAAAGACGCGGAAACACATGGTCGCACAATCACTCATGTGTCTGCTGCTGCGCGCGGACGGGGGTGAACTGCGGCGAGGGTGCTAAGGCTCGCGATATGCCTTGCTCAAGATATCGCCAAACATCGGTGTGATGATACCTGCCAAGCTGACCATGAGAGAATGTTCCAAAAAGAGCGATGAGGACAACACGACGGCGAACCATTGAAGACTAGAGAGAAAATTCGCGCATGGTCGCACATGGCCGTACATTTGTAAGTCGAGGTGTCGCGAGCCGTGCGCCATAGGTCGAGATCGACTGTTGAGAAACGGTCGGGCAAGGGTGGGGGAATCGGAATAACCAGGTGAACAAATTCAGGTTAGGCCGGCGAGACTGAAGATTACAGCTTCAGAATGGATTGGAAGGTTCAGACACTTAAGGCGTTCATGCCCCCGGCGCTCGACGTAGAGCACAGCCCAAACACATGAAAGTGAAGTAAGCTTGTTGCTCTGCAATCGTACGGTGCGCACCAACTCGGATTTACCAACACACATCTGCTGAAGTTCACTTTTGCAAACAGCGTTGAACCAGATTTTACAAATTGCTCAACATCTCGACAAATATTCGAGTCTCCTCGATTTATTCTTTACCTATCCGGTGAAACTAGAAGCGTCACCAGGCATTGGCGTCTCGGTTCCTACGCACAACCATCGTGCCCACTTTCTGATAGACTGTCGAGTCGCTGAAACTCGCGCATAAGAGCGCGCCTCAACGCGATTAGTAGAAGAATTCCTCCAATGTTTCAGGAACACGGAAGAATATTTTCGACCAATGATCGCAGATAATTCGCGGCTTTTATATTCAACCCCACGAAGGTACCGAAGCACCACGATCGGAAGCAATGCACGACCCAACGGCGAGACGTCAAATAACCTCAACCACAAGTGAGTATCCGACGACTAGAATCTCCCAGCACTTTCACTCCTATACGTTGTGCCAACACAGAGAACGAACCGGCTCTCACACGCGTGACTTCCACCGTACAGGAGCAGAAGAAACCCGACTTGTCCCCACCAAATTCCGTTTTCCGCCATCGTCAGCCTGTGTTCTAGCATACGAGTGAAGCTATGAGAATCGGTGTAGGGGGTGAGGTATCTTCTGTCCTACGATAGGTTGCGGATTGTTCTGACGTCTTCTCCGTCCCCATGCCCGGCGAAGCAATATTCAAGATCGAACTTTTAAGATGTTCGCAACGGACGCGCGAAGCCGCACTCCCTGTGTTACCTTGGCGGCGGCGCCATGTCCGCCATTCTTTTGCTGGTTTCACCCAACCCTACCCTGCGCTGACTACACTTCACTTGCAGCTGAAATTTGAACAAAAGATGAGCGAGGACCCCAACATTGAGGGGTCATAGTTGTACAGCTAGCTGGCCTCTACTGCCGCTGTATATGCGGGGGAATGCAGTACAGCCAGCTGTACGCGTCTCACCTCCTCGGACGTGCAGGGCCTCGGGACGAGCTGCGTTGCTCCGGCAGAAAGCGACCAGAGTGTCGAGGGGTATGTCGCCGAAGATGGGCGTTTCCACGAGGCGAGGGGCGACAGAGTTCACCCGTACCCCCGACGCCGCGCCCTATCGAGATGCGAGCGGCAGAGAAATTCATGAGGCAGTCTCGCGGATGAGGAGTGTTGCATTCACGTGTTTCATGCCACGATTCGAGCGCCAAAATACCAACTATGGTAGCTGCGCTAAAGACTCCGAAGGTAACGCATTCATTTGCTCGGGGCATGGGGCAGCATCCAATACTGCCGTCGATTCATAGCGCGCCCAGGGGTGTATCATGACGCGACCGCTGTCACGGGACATGTTGCCGTGCGGGGGTGCCATGTACCTACAGTAGAGCAACCCGGATGACTCGGCAGGTTTGCGACTGCGGTTGGAGAGATACATTTCCTGTGTCGGTTGTGTCACATGCCGTCTAACCAACACCAATGAGCTGGACATGCATTGCAGCAGTATATTGCAATAGTATTTCTTCTAGTGTTAATAATCCATGCCCGTGTAGCGTGAATGAAGTTCGTCGTTGTGCTTGAGTGACGAGTCGATTCGAACACGAAGATTCAATCACACTTAATTGCATTGGGCGGGACGACGAAAGAAACCGGCGAACCTCCATGGCAGCATACGCCATGAGCATTTCCGCCGCGGCTTTCGGAGCTGAGTACGTGCCGGCGCCAGCCAACCCCGGCAAGGCTGACGGACGCAAGCCTGTCACTGAGGCGTTGACGATGATGGAGCCCTTTCCTCCTGCGGTGCCCTTCATGGCTGGGATCTGCAACGGTAGAGTGGTAGGGGTGCGGGCAGTGAATCAACATATTGCGCACCACAACACATATTGGCGGAATCGAATGACAGTTTGAGCCCCACATTTTCTAAAATAGTTGTACGAACGTAGCATGCTCCCAGATCATTATGAACACCAATGTCTACCCTTGTGAGTGGGATGAACAACAATAATATCCCTAGCTGCCCGCCGCGTGCGCAACAACCTATTCTGATTCTGTTGTGATGATCTACGATGTTTTTGTACAATGACTCGCATCTGCTGGTCTACACAACAACAGTTTCAACAGAAAGGGCGTCAGGAGTGGTCAAAGAATTAATGAAGGGGGTTTGGCCACTGGATACTCCACATGATAGGTTTACAGTATCGGGCTGTGACTGAGAAAATCTGAATATTTTTCCTCTCTCATCAATACTTTGGACCTGGCTCTTGGAAGACAAAGTAAATGCCCCGACATGTTGCATGCGTGCACACAATCGCGAACGCACACACACACGGCACGGCGGCAATGATTGTACAACACTGGGGAGACGAAATGTTTGTGTGGGTGGCGATCTATTTGCAGACGAACAGGAAACTGCAATCGTAAAAGTTTCACATAGACTACCAGTATTCGTTAAGAAACTCTAGAACGCTCAGATTTTCACGAAACAGGCAAAAGGGCTAGACTACCTATGAAAGAAACACAGCTCAGCGGTAGACCCTAGACTAGAGTAGATGTCCCTATTAAGCCCCACTTAAGCCACCCTGTGCGGAAAAAGCTGGTACTTCGTGAAAAGGTTGAACTAGAGTACAATCGAGGTATTGAACGAAAGCCAACATCAATATCTGAGTGTAGAAAAAAAAAATTGAACACAAATGAGTTTGTGTGCTGTTATTAGAGTCAGTAAAAAACATGGCTCCTCGAAGCTGAAAAAACGGAAAATACGACCCCCCGCCAATTAAGCCCCACTTTGCGTTAGAGCCACATTGTGCACGTTAAACAACGTTTCAGGACATGATACTTGGTGTCATGGTCAATGACCTTATGAATATGAGTCGTAGCNATTGAACGAAAGCCAACATCAATATCTGAGTGTAGAAAAAAAAAATTGAACACAAATGAGTTTGTGTGCTGTTATTAGAGTCAGTAAAAAACATGGCTCCTCGAAGCTGAAAAAACGGAAAATACGACCCCCCGCCAATTAAGCCCCACTTTGCGTTAGAGCCACATTGTGCACGTTAAACAACGTTTCAGGACATGATACTTGGTGTCATGGTCAATGACCTTATGAATATGAGTCGTAGCAAAAAAAAAAATGTATGCGGGGATGAAATTGGCGTATCCCCGGGTTTTGAACCAACTTTTTGGACGGAAAAACACCCCAAGTATCTCTTGCTGAGGGGCCCCGTGACCATGAATCGGGATAGGGCCAAAAAAATTGTTCAGGATTGAGTTGGTAATGGTTTACAACGGCTTCACAAAAAAATCGCGACATGAAACGGTAGTTTGCACGCCATTTTAATCGGTAAGAAGCGGGCGCACTTACCGGTGTTCGCGTCCGTCTACGGCAACCCCCAGTCCCGAAATGCACGACGCTGCATCGCCTGTTTTTCTCTACTTCGCTTNTTACAACGACTTCACAAAAAAATCGCGACATGAAACGGTAGTTTGCACGCCATGTTGATCGGTAAGAAGCGGGTGCATTTACCGGTGTTCGCGTCCGTCTACGGCAACCCCCAGTCCCGATATGCACGACGCTGCATCTCCTGTTTTTCTCTACTTCGCTTTCACCCCATGATTCGCCGTTTGACACAGACCTCGACACTAAAGCAAGGAGCAAGTGAATTCAAACGTGGGGGAGGAGTCCCCAACCGGGGACAGAGTGGTCACATCCCCGGATTTTCCAGTCAGAACCTGATTCAAACCGCTAGAACGGTACAGCGTGGCCTCGTACAATCGCAGAACTGCTCGACGCTCCAAAAAAAACTCCAACCACTTGATTGCTGACTCCTTGCCAATTCCAAGGGCGCTTTCAACCGATTTGGAATCAAACTAGGTTGAGTTCGGATCGGTACAGAAAAACCGACACGTCGACTACGCGTGCCGGCGTCAGCGTTCGCCCTGACCTGGATACGCCGGCATTCCCCACTACCCCTCCGACCACACGACCACGACCAGCACCCCGCCCAGTGGCATTCGCCACAACCCCCCCCCCCACTTGATCACGAACGCCACCCCACCCGCCGCCCCTCCCACGCCCGCCCCTTCCTTCTCTTCGCCCCCGCCCTTGCCCCTGACCTCCCTCTCGCCCGCCGGCCGCCGCCTCGGGTCGACTTTCTACTCCCCGCCCACCCACCGCCCCTCTACCGCCCGCCGTTCGGCCAACTACACGCCCACGACCAACAACAGCCCGGCGCCCTCTCTCTTCCTCCCCCCCCTGCCCGCGCCCCCCCTGACCTCCTTCAAGCCCCCGCCCCCGCCCCCCTCTGCCTCCGTCCGGTCCCTGTCCCCGCCCACTAGAGCCTTCACCCCCTGTGTCGCCTCGCCCTCCTCCCCGCCCATGCCCACGCCCTGCGCGGTTTGCCCCCTGTTCCAAGCTCGCATCCTCCCTCGCTACCCTCTTGATCTCCCGTGCCATTCTTTTTTCTCTCAGAGCTTCCTCGGCCTCCACCTTCTGGCGTTCGTCTTCGAGGTATTTTTGCATGACGTCATCGCACGTGATTACCCCTCCTTCCGGGAGACCTTGCGACTTGCGGGTGATGGCGAGCCTCTTCTGCTTCTTTTTCGCCTTGACGAAGGCTCCGAGCATGACCGTGTTGATAAGGATGCCCTTGACGCACTAGCCCTTTTGCTGCAGCTCGCGAACCGTTCGTGGGCCGAGGTTGTCGGCAAGATGCTTGTCGGAAATCGCCCCTGTGATGTCCTCAACGGGCGGGCGGGCACCTGATCGTTCCTTCCTCTTCCCTACACCTTGAAGTCGACCCATCGCCCGCTCCCCGTCCACCGGCCAAAGGCCTGCCCCTGCAAAGGATGATGTGTTCCGTTCCTCGGAAAAGCTCCGCAACCAAGCATCCCCAAGAATGCCCAACATGTCGCTCTTCGCGGGCACCCTTCCGCCGTTTCGTGCCGGGAAGGCCGAGAGAACCTTGGTGATTTCCCGCTTGAATGACCCGAACGACCCGACGTCCAAGGGCTGAACAACATGAGACGAGTGGGACGGTATCTGGTAAAGGACGATGTTTAGGTCCCTGGCCAATTTTACAACTTCGTAGGTAACATGCGAGGCGTGGCCATCAAGCACGAGCACGTGTGGCGTGCCGTTGATCAAGCCGCGGTCTAGAAGCTGCCGGTGAAAGTCGCGAATGTAGTTGACGAATACGGTCCCCTGCATGAACGAGGAATCGATGACTGCCAGTCTCGCGTTCGGAGGGCCGTTTCTGCCTTTGACCCAGTCCGCTTGCAGACGCTGCCCTTTGTAGATGATCCACGGGGCGAGGGTGGCACCCGCCGCGCTGATGGTGACCACCACCGTCACGTTTTCTCTCGAGTTTGAACGCATCGCTCCACCCACTTTCTGTCCGCTCTCCGTAATCACCTTCATTGTCTTGGTGCCTTGTGAAGTGCTACCTGCAAAACAGAGATGTTGGACCAGGAAAGGTACGTAGCCGAGGTGGCGTTGAGCGTACGGAAGGTGGTCGGGGCGCACCTGGTACCGCTCTCTCTAGGTCTGTGTACTATTTCTACAGAGGAGGCGGACGACAGCATTGTAAGCCAGGGGGTATCGGCAAAGGGCGAAGAGACTAGACTACGGCTACATCTGTCGGCGATAGAGAATAATCACATCAGAAAAGAGGCGCAGCCGCATACGAACACAGTAACGCTTGCGCTAGAGTGCGACACACAGCCAAACCCGTCTAGGTTTCTGTTTCATCCCCAACATACACCTCATGCCGCCGTCCCTCTATAACTCGAGTGACTTCGAGCGTACGGTAACACAGTGAGCGCCGCGGAAAGGGGAGGGGGCATGTACTACTGTAGTGTATGTCAACCGTGCGTTTTTGTCTAGTCTAGTCTACCGCGGTAGTGGAATAGATCTTGCAGGGGTGTGTGGGTTGCAGAGGGCGGATCCAACGATCTACACTGAAAAAAATATCGGCACAACTCCGCCTGCTGCTAGCAAGTTGCCGCGCAGCTGCACCGCGCACTACAGCACTGCTGTAGCCCTTGCCTACTGCGTAGATCCATCAGCAACACCTTTCTATATGGACCTCACCTGTCTCATCTGTGTTCCACAGGTGATCGGCAGGGATCTTTTCCTTGTCAACGAACTCGCCAAAGTCCTTGTAGAACGTCTGCAGGCGAGTCTCGTCGTCACTCATGATTCTGTTGGCCTCGTAGATGCGGGCGCTGCGTTCCGATAGCGCAGGATGCCTCTTGAAGAAGCCGTCTAGCCATGATCGCCCCGGGCCGACTGCTGCATCCCACGGGATATCGCGACCGTCATTGCACAGCTGGCGCACATGTTCTTGCAGCGCGGTCCGGTCGATCCCGATGAAGTGACGAGCAGCATACAGCAGTGCATCTTCAACAAAACTTTCCTCCTCGACTGTGAGTACAGTCCTTGGACCAACCTTTGCATCCATGCTTTCATCACCGGTCAGCCGGCGAGAGAGAGAGCGCTTGTTCACGCCATAGGCCTGTGCAGCAGCCCGGAGAGACATTGCGCCGCTGCGGACAGCCTCGATGGCCTTCTGCGCCTGCTCTGGGTCCACCTTAGACCTGACCATCCTCAGCAACAGGAGCGGCCAAAACGCCAACCTTGCAGTATCCGCCGACGGTGGTGGTTGTGGCGCTGTATCTCGGGAGTGGCGCAGCTGATTCGTGCGTACAGATGCTCAAACGCAAGCTAACGGTGTGCTTTTCAAATTTCAAAAAAAAAAAGAGTCCCTTTATTGTTTTTCTTTCGAATTGCCTTTTTGCATTAATGTTTTCTC